AGTAGAGTGAAAAGGTAAGATACAAAAGTAGGTGAGGCTCTGGGGAGCCGAAGCTCCCCAGAACAGAATATTGGTATCTAGCAGTAAGTCGCTGTGGAGATCGGTAATGGTAGTCGGTAAAGGTGGTCGGTAAAAGTGGTCGGTAAAAGTGAGGAGTGCTTTTATACCCCAGGGGACAAAGATCGAAAGTTCAGTGGGGGTAGGGCGATTAAAGTTTGAACCAGGGACAGGAGTACTGCGTCACAGTAACGCAGTTGGACTTTAATCTATTTTTAACAAAAAACAATCACTATTCGATATATTACGCTATTACGAAATAGTGATTAATGGTTTTTTGTTATATTACGCTATTACGCGATAAACTAACCAGACTATGTTATCTATGAAGCACAAATGGTTCAGCTACTCACTATTCATCTTCAGGCCACCTTCCCAGTTCAAAGGAATTGACTAAGATAAAATCGGTTTCACTCGTTTTTTTCGTTTGGAACAATCCAAGTTCATTCCCGCATCTTTTCAGAGCCAAGTACTGCCAACAAATAGTTTGTTCGTCTCTGCCATTGTAGCTAACTTTTCATGCCTGTCGTTCCTCTCGAGAATGCCATATTTGCAAACGTACTTCTCTCCATCCCTTCCCTTCGCTCAAACTTTACACACTGAAATCCCCCATAACAACCGTATATTTGGACTTGGTGATTGATGTGGATTCGAGCTGCACCTCATCGCCATCGCTGGCCATGGTGGAAGCGTAGACTTGGATGATTTTGGGGGTTTTATTAGAATTTATTATGAGCAAGGGTATGCTAAATCTTAATGACAAAAGGATGTGGGCCGAAAGTGGAGATCACTGCCTACTGACGATAAACTCAACCTTAACGATGTCTCCCTGTCTCTTTCCAATGCCGAGCAAAATCGCTTTTCCACCTTCCAGGTTACGATATATTCGGTCCTTTATCATGTTTTACACACACCAAGAATGTCGCTATGATGTTCTACCGATTTCCAGGAGAAGATGGTTCGTGAGCTCATCCTTCCACAGCGGCCTGTAATTGTAGGCGAATATCGAAAGGTCGAGGCCTTTTCGCGGTGGCATTTATTTAGCATCTCGGATCCTTAGCATTCCTCACTTTCCGGTCGCCAATTTCCCCATAATGAGTTGCTGGGCGTACATTTGCGTTTCTGTGCGCATAGTTACTTTACCTTTACTAAACTACCAACCGCTGGTCAGCCTGTTGTTGGATCGTACCATCCAAGTTTGGTCGGACGGTAGCAGCGC